TAAAAATAATGGTTTCGCAATTTTCGTACAAAATATGATCGGAATAGTGATTTAACTTTATCAACTGTGAAGAGATTAATTGAAAAATTTTGGGAGACTGGATTTATTAGTGATCTTAAGCACTCTGTTCGTTCTTCAATAAGTTGTTCAACACAAAACATCGAAGCAGTTCGTGAGAGTGTTGCACAGAGTGCAGGAATATCAATTCGGCATCTTGGTCGAGAAGCTCTCTACAGCATATTTTCACAGAAAGATTTGAATCTTTATGTTATGCTTACAGTTCAAGTGATTCAAGAACTGAAGCCTACTGACCATATAGAGTGAAGAGAGTTCGTTGAATGGATTATGGAATAACAAGTGAATGCTGATTTTTCGAACAAAGTCTTCTTTATCGATGAGGCTCATATTGATCTTGACAAAATGCGGATTTTGGGCTGGAGGCGTCATCGGATTATTCTTCTTCGAAAATGCGGCTGGTCAGTCAATAACAGTTAATGGTGCTCGCTATCGCGACATGATCCAGTTTTTTTGTACCTAAATTGCAAGATGCGGATGTAGAGAACATGTGGTTCCAACAAAACGGTGTCACATGCCATACAGCTCCAGAAATAATTCAATTACTGAATGAGTCGTTTCCTGACCTTGTAATTTCCCATTTTGGTGATTAGAATTGGCCGTCCAGATCATGCAATTTAACGATGTTTAACTTCTTTATTTGGGGTCTAAAGCTTATGCCAACAAGCCTACGACTACCCACGCATTGAGGGAGGAACTTGGGTGCTGTTTGAACGAAATTCAGCTGCATTTATGCTAAACGGTCATGGAAAATTTCGATAAAAGAGTGCGTATGTGGTAGCAAAGCTTAACCTACTTATTGTTTCAGAAGAGCCATATATATTGAAATAAGCTGTACGGGCTTGGGCAGATCAAATTTCAAATCACATTATATTTTTCATAGCCTGAATATGAATTAGTAATTTATTCACGATATACACTTAGGTAGACTAATAGAAATTATTATGGAAATATTGAAGAAGACAGCCACAATTCAAATTTTTATGTTAACTTTTTCCTATGAATAATTATTGCAATTCCACTTGAAATAAACAAGTGTTTTAATTAGACTTATTTCCAGTGGAAGATATTACCATGAGAATGACTCAACAATATCATACGGGAAAACCGCAGTAGTTCCTTGGGAAAAAAATTGAGAATGGTGATATTTTAACAAGCAATACTCGGTAGTTATTATATACGCCCACCAAAGTTGGTAGTAGCAATCTGTTTAACTCTGGTTGGTTTTTAATTCTCTATTTCGATGAGAAAGTGAGCCAATATTGGCACTTATTCCTCTTCCTTCCAAGTCAAGGAAGGTGTTTAGGTAGTAAACGAACCTATACCAATAGCTGATTCTGATCCAATAAAGTGCAAAGCAGCAACCTTCATAACTATAGAATTACACTTGTAAGATAAATTCAACTTGATGGCATAAGTTTTTTTTGGAAAGATAGTTGCGTGGATACTAAGGCTTACTGACAGCCTAGTCCCAGAATTGCAAATTGCAATTATATACTCCAAGTCCAACACTTTTTCGAGTCTTCTCTTAAATATCAGTTTTGTTCCGACCTCATTTATTTCTCCCAGAATGTTGAAAGATAGCTTATATTTAAATCGTTCAGGTAATTGACAGGCTTACCCTCCAGCCATTGCTGGACTGGCAACATGTTGGTCCACCGGACGAATATGGAACCAATAGAAAAAAAATTTAAATTTAAAAACACATTTTTTCCATCAGCCCCACTATTTAATGCAGTTTTACAAACGCATTTTCGGACGACAAATATCACATTTTAGATATCTATTACTATTACTAGAGATTTACAAATAATTACTTCACGTCTGCTATAAAGGAAAAAAATGGATCAGCGATCGTGAAGTAAAAGTGGACGTGAAGTAACTGAGTCCGCGAAGTTTTCAAGGACGTAAAATAAAATGAAATTGATTAACTACATCAAACCTCGTCAGTTTATTGCTTTAGTTCAAGTATTTGTTTCTTTCATTTTTTTTTTCATTACTGTAAATCTTTAGCCTAGGGCTTAAACTAATTAACGAGCTATTGCACTTTCTTTGGATAAGCGATACTGATTGTTGTTTAATTTCTTAATTGATAGCGAAGCTTTACAAAAATGTTTTTTTAATCAGATATGTTTCTCCATATCGTCTAACAGTCAAATTAGATTTGTGATTCCAGTTAAAAAGATATATTTGTCCTTAGCACAAAATAGTTGTTCCCGTTTGACAACAGTGAAAAATTGCAGAAGGCTAGTAGCACAAAATTTCCAGCATACTTAGTTCCCTCTCGTTAAAACAGTCCAAGTGAGCGGATCTTTATATTTATTCTTAAACAGCTCTATCTTAGAATTTCGATATTAATTAAATTAATCTAATTTTTAAAACTAGGTTAAGTAAAATAAGAGAACACTTAACCAAAACTCTTATCAATGTCTATATCTCAAATTAGATTAATGTTCCTTTAAGAACGCCAAGCCCTAATTTAAACAATAGAGGTCCTATCACATAGTTACAATATTTAATAAAGCAAGAGCTAAGTATATAATATTGATGTAGGGCTTTTATCTTGAGTGATAGAAAGAGGTTGAGAGAGTCGATGTTTACTATAACCCTATTTCTTTCACATGTCAGGTTAAATAGTAAAATAATTTTCTGACACCATATATTTCGAAGAAGAAACTTCCTAATGGCATAGGTAATATCCTTTTTACCCCAAAAACAGAAAGTTAACTGATAAGGTGACTCATAATTTGGCAGAACCGTGTACAAAACGCATTTTAGAATCACTGATTTTAAAAAACAAATGTTTACCGAAGAGACTCCGTTCAAGTGCCAGTGCCAGTGGTTTAAAGGCAATTATTAATATGTTATGAGCCTTACATTTGTTAACCTTTGTTACCATTTCATATAGCAATGCGAAAAATACTTGTGGGAAAGTGGTTTATTATGCAATAATTGATTTTGGCTTCATATAGTCAGTATTTCCTCTCGCAAAAAGTTAAGGAATATCACCGTAATGTCTTTTAAAGTAAACTTTAACTTTTTTTTTCTTAACAACTTCTCATTCTGTCTTTTGTCAGCAGTGGACGTTGAACTGTCATATTCCTTGCACAAGCTACTATTAAGTGAAAAAAAAAAAAACGCTAACGTAGTGATATGTTTTAACTATACTTGATATGTTTTATTGAATCCTTGTCGCAACTGTAAACTTTGTCGAGTGTTTTTACTCTTACATATTTTCTGTACTTTTATAGCTACTTGTACTATTTAATATTAATATTTTTGTACTACGATATATATTTTTGTGTGCAAATTTATAATAATAAACTGAGTTCGGTTCTGTTAGAAGCCACGTATCACTTAATTGTATTCAATTGCATTTAAATATCGAACTATTAATATGGATATGTGTTATTTGTTATGTGATTTATTTTTCATACAGCTATATACAGGGTTTTCCAATGAAAACTTCCTACCTGGAAAATATCGGAATAAAAAAGAAACAAAAACAACCTGAGACACTCCAGGATAGCTACCTGATTACCCACATCAAGTACTTCCTGTTCACGTTGATGCTTTCTGTTTGCAACCGATCCAGTTTCCGAAAATGTATGCACTGAATCTAGGACGTATCGATGCGAAGTGCTTTTGTCAATGTGACAATCATTAAAAATCTGTGCTGTCTGCTATGCACAGCCATTATTCTTGTAGAATAAACTAATTATTTCCACTTTTTCAGCAATTGTATAAACCATTTTCACAAATTGGTATTTAATCGACTTCATTTTCCGGGATATTGTGTTGTCGACAAGACAAGACGAGACAATATTGTCTCGTTTAAAGTAAAACAGGTAAAAAAGTTGAATTGATAGAGTATGAAGTTTTTGTATTGACAGATAAACGAAGTCAATTCAAATCAATTTTTTTATCGAAAAAATTATTGAAGGATGTCGACTGATAACGCCCGAAATGCTTCGAAATGTTCATTCGGAAGAGGAGGGAAAACTATTTGAACGCTTAATAAAATAACATTCTTTCATTCATTGATATTTTATGTCATGGAGATGATTTTATTGTCATATCCAAGCCAAAATTTAAAGTATGTCGCCGTGAGCAGAATTCAAAAAGTTTTAAAATGAAAATGTCACTCAACATAGGGTGCCATTTAAATTTTAAGGATATTTTACACCCATGCCTAGGGATAGCCTAGTTTTCATTGGAACACCCTGTATTTTATGTGCAAATACTCAGCATGAATCGTAGTTTTAAAAGTGTATTACAAAATTTTGCTCCCATTTCCAATTTGGTACAGTACAGAACGTACACTATGTTTTTTTTCGTATGTACCGCATAAACTACATTGTTGTTATTAACGTGCTACGTATCACGAGCCATTTCAGCTATTTTTACGATCTGGGAGACATAGAAAGGCAAAACAGTAAGCATTACTTAGAAAACTAATCAAATACAAAATGAAGTCAAATAATTGATCATATCATATTATTCTGACACTAAAGCAGTGGGAGCGAGTAGATAGTGTAATATGTAATACTCGAAAATAAATTTTAGAATATCTACAAAACCGTGTTTTGTACTTTTACTTTTCCTCCTAAGGGATGTCATTAAAAAATAAATTCACTAATAGAACTATTTAATGTAATGTTTTTGTCTTGGCAGCATATCAAAAAAATCATTTGATTTGATGATGTTGTCTCTGAAGACTTGAATAAAACTTGATAATACACGTTTTTGGCAACTCTTAAAAAATATTTGTAGCATATTCATTCTTGGACCAATGGATAAACATGTAATGTACATATAATTGGGAGGAAAATCTAAATTTAGTTAAAAACGAATGAATAATAAAAACTCAAATGTGGAATGTACAAAGACATGAATATATTCATAACGTTATTGACACTCGTCGGAAAAGGTTCAGAGGTTATAGAAAAAATAAATACAGTTATATCTACATACAGGTAAAAATCACATCATTAAAAATATTTGTTCTGGTAGTGTCTATCTTTTTAAATATTTAAAATGAAGATTGTAATACTGATTCTTGGAATGTTGAGATCACATAGAATAAGTTTAGTCGTTGTAGCACTTCATGGTCTGAATGGAGCAACCGTGGCATATTTCATCCGATTTACACATCAGGCCTTCACCGCATTGTCCCAAAATGTTTAAAGTTCCTCCACACCTTTCGCCGGGACCCTGAAAAAAGGATTATCGCTGTTATCATAATATATCTATATTTGCATCTACAATTAAATCGGAACAGCTTTGGTGTCCCTCAAGACAGAAATCTAAGTTTCTTATATTACGTAAGAATTTATTATGATTTTTAATGAACTTTGAAATTCAATTGTCAATGATTTTCTAATAATTACTTCTGTCTTTTAACAACTAAAAATATGTTTTCACGAATCTGTAAACAAGTATAGCCACATTGCTACAAACTGTCAGGACTGATTCCTCTAATCAAAATAAACAAAAAATAAGAGTTAACATATTTTTCCATGACGAACTTCTTGATCTCTTAAAGATTGGAAGTGGAACACAGTTTTTGGTCAATTACTCAAGAACTATTGAAGATATAAACTCAGCATATAGTAGGATCATATTCGATGCAAAGTAATAAATCATTGCCTGTCAAGGGAACCAATGAAGTACGCTTTTAAGGGTTTTACAAATTGAATAATTTCTTTATACATTATGAAGGGACGAGGGGATCAGTTCAGGTCTGGCACCCTTGTTCCTACAAAAATTCCTTTATTCTCATAAACTATTTATTTTAAATGTAATTTATTATAAATCCAATTTGTTTCCTAAATTCCACATATGTACTACATTTTACCTCTGTACGCGCCACTGTTGTTTACTTGTTTTTTGGAAGCGCTCTCTAATTGACGGCAAAGCTCGCCAGATTAGTATTTGACGTATAACCGACCAGTTCGTACACTCGATGCACCTGGGCGACTACAGCTACTACCAGAACACAGTGCGTATGCAGCGGTATTTCAGATTTTACATTGAATTTCATTTTAAATTTGAAATGATTTATCTTACGCCTCCTAAAAATGATGACACGATTTGATAAAAGACCGACAACTTTTTGCTCTACTTCGCATCGAATACGATCCTACTATAGTTCAGTTTCCGCACAGTAGCTAGCTGGTGTAAGCGGAGTTTCATCTTTCTAAGATTTATAGTTAACACACCAATCGCGGTTAACAGTCCAAACATCATTGACAACGTTAGCAGCGGAATGTAGGTGAAAATTAGAAGAAAAAGTTTAACGCAAGTTCACAGTTATTTGAATGAAGTATAACTAAATGGGTACATTCAACCTTAGAGCAATATAATTAACTTTTATCTATTATTTGCTGTTGATTTTTTTAACTTTTATTAGAGACCAGTGAATTCTTTAAAGAAAGCTTAAGAGGAGCCAAAGTTTTGATTGAAAATGATCTATTCTCGTGAGAGATTTTCTTAACATTAAATAACTGTATTTTGACAGCTTCCTAATTTCGACGCCGCCGCTGGTTAGTTTCTATTTGAACTTTACATGACGATAACTACTATAATTTGACTATCTTATATTGTGTTTCTTGTTTTCCTGTTGCTTTATTAATTATGAAAGTATACCGCAGCGTCGCTGTTTACTATATACTATATTGTTTACTTCAAGTCTGTATGCATAAAAGAATAACGAGACCACCTATTTTTTTAAGATCAATGTTTTGTTTTTTTTTTCTGGCAGAGTGTATCCTCAATAAAACCATTCATTTCAAACTTTTTTTTGTCCTTTTTTAAGCAATAATTAAATAAAAGAAACATTTTCTGATTATGTGGTCATCAAAAAAAAAAAATAAATAAATAAGAACAGTTCACAATTTTTAGAATCACAGATATAAAGCATATTAGTAGTGAATATTCACAAGTAATGACCTTTTGATGTTTACAAATTAAATTAAATGCCACAGTCCATAAAATGAAAAAATACCTTGGCACACATTCGTCGGTTGCAAGCGTCTCTCACTTCACCCCATACACAGTATTCTGGTGGGTCTTCATCACATTCAGCTTGACTATCACAAGGTCTACAAACCCATTTGCCAGCTAAGGACCTGTAACAAATGCACAATACCTCATTCAAGGTTAACTTTAAAAAATATTCAGTTATTAGAGTGGACTTTTTGGAATCTTAACTTTTATTGTGCTATCTATCTTCGAACACAATTGTTTACAAAGTATTGTTAATCAGTAAGACTCTGTTTTGGTTCCGATAAAGAACGGTTCAGGTAGTTCAAATTAGTTGATCATTTATAAGAATAATAATAATGACATTTCTATAAATTCTATAAACAAAGCTGCTGGATGTCGAGCAAATGGAAATGTGTACAAGGTCTGTGTTGGAAATAAATGAACTTTATTTTTTAAACTTTATTAATAATTTTACATTATTGGTCCTTGTTTCCTTCAAAGTACTCTCCTCTCCTATTCACACACGTTTCCAAGCGATGCTTTCATTTCGCAAAACAGTACTGGATAGCTTCATTTAAAATGACTTTTAAAGTCCATGACGAATTGATGACATAAATAGTCTGAAAACGGCAAGAACCATGAGTTGTCTCATCACAACCCTGGTCTCTTTTTGCGGATTTTTCCACGTGATCGTTGTAAAATGCTTCGACAGTATGCACGGTTCACTGTTTCACTTTGAGGCAAGAGTTCGAAAAAAAATAGTAAGCATACGTAGGCATTGGATCGAGACTGACGTCCTTTCTTGGGGTGTGGAGATCTTTTGCCAATCCATTGTACTGACTGAATTTTTGTTTCAATATTCATAGCCGTAAATCGAGATTTCCTGTCCCGTTGTGATTCTTTGAATGAATGTTTCATCGTTTAAGGAGTTGCCGACAAACATCCACACGATTTTCTTTCTATTGTTCGGTCATCAAACGAGGAACCTAACCTAATCTTTTCTGCAATTTATCTGACAGTCAATCGACGATTTTCACGCACCAGATCCTTGACTTTCAGAACGTGGGAGTCATTAGTTGAAGTCGAAAGCCTTCATGGTCAAGGATCATCTTCAATTGAGTGATGACCACTTTTAAATCGTAAAAACATCCGTAACATTGCGTACGATTCAGATTTTCACCTCCATAGGCTTGTTTCAAAAGTTGAAACGTTTATGTGAAAGTTGTTACCAGTTTCACGCAAAATTTTATGTTGCTTCATTGTTCCAGAAAATCCCATATTTCAAAAATTGTCATTAACACTTAAATAAGCTGCACTCAAATAACAATATCAGGAAAACTAAATGAGATATCAACAATCCAAGAACATCCACATGCCAACTGCATATCACTAAATATCTCCATTAGCGCGTAATTTAAAAAAAATCGGTTATTTTCTGAACAGACCTCGTACTGTAGCTATTTACTATAATATACAAAATATTTTAAAACTTTTATATAACGTGAAACCATGTAAAAATGTGCCACTTGTTACCTATTAAAGCAGAAATTGCTTAATACATTTACCTATTCATTTTACGGTAGACCTTAATATAAACTAGCTCTTTTATTATTATAGTAATTAAAATTTAAGTATTGCTGTAAAAATATTTTCCAAAGAACTGCAGTATTTAATGACATAAATTGCTTTGTATATTATTGTCCGACACAAATTACATTTAATAATAAGACGTCTAGTATCCTTGGGCTACATTCTGGTCAAATAAGTTTTTTGTGTGCCAATTATAAAAATTCCGGTAAATCGTGATGATAGCGATCACGTTTCATAAGAGATAGTCTCGTCACAATAAATTAATGAGTGTAATTTTTTTAAACAAGATTCATTCAGTACATTAAAGTACATATTTAATAATAATTTTAATTTCCAATTTTAATAATCAATAATGAATTCAATTGATGAAGTAGGTACAAATTTTAAATAAAGATTAAGAATTTCAAAATTAAAATAATATTTAAAAAACAGAGTACGTTTACCCGTTTTTATTGGGAATTATTTACCAAAACAGATTTTGCAGTTGATGCAGTTTGATGGCTTGGTAGGCCTACCTATGCAAAATTTGTATATAGGTACTTCGAATTTTTTTTAAACATTGTAATGGTTATTCCTCCAAGAAACTAAATAACCCTTATTAACTCCTCCCTTAAGAATTCAGCCAAGCTGAGGCATAACAATTATTCTTTCGGATAAGAAAATGTTTAGTCTAAAGCCGACTTACAGGTCGATTACTTGATATTCACTAGACAATCTAAAAAATGTTAATTTTGCATTTTCAGAGATATTCATATCATTGAACTTAAAGTTAATACATAATTAACTGATTGACTGATTGTATAGTGATTTTTCTGTAAATTTTAGGTATGACTGGGTAAGAATAAGGGTAAAATGGCCATGCAAGCTGATAAGAGAGACACCATTTTTATTTGTCATTTTATGGAAAAAATAAATTCTCGTAAAAAAATTCTGATTGAATTGAATATACAAAAACTCAATAATACACTATACTAACTAAGAAACATATAAATGTTAATTATTTTCCAACATTTAATATAAAGGGCTGCCCAAAATTTTTTAGACGAAATTTTATATTTTGGGAAACGAATATGTTGGTTAAAAAATAATCTGTAACATTAACTCTATTTGTGTCTTGACACGCACAAAGAAAATATTTCTGTGTGGGTAAAGTTCTATTATCGTATAAGGTATTAAAAAATTTAATGAAGTAAAGTTGTTTGGAATTAAACTTTCAACACCCTGTAGTTTTGGAATTTGACAATTTTTACAATATTTAATTTTGTAATCTTGCATAGCGAATTGCCGGGGAAGTAGGTAATGCATATTTATGCAAAATTCAATATTTTTTATGGGTATTTATTTTTAAAACTAACCTCTACCACTTTTTTCTAGACGAAGACGATAGGGGGCTATTATTTATGTGAAAGCTCAAAGTGCCCCATTTTCAATATTTATTGAGAAAGAATAAAATAAATAAAACGAAAAATAATAAAAAAATGAAAATGTAATGGAATTATTAGACAAAATATCGCAAATACAATTTTTCAAAAATTCTCACATAATAAAATCGCATCAGGCTTTACAATATTGAGGAACTTATAGCAGTCGAATATGAGCCTTTCAAGGGTTTATTTTAAAAAATTATTTGCTTTTTAATTATTATGTTAACAGCTTTTTTAAAATAATACATGTAACCGTTGAGTGAGAGTACTATTTCTCACTCAACGAATGTAACTACTTTAGCAGGCAGCAACTGTTTAAGTTACTGGAGTTTAGATTGCAGGTGTAAGAAATATTTTTAATTAATAAATAAATAATTAATTAATTAAGATATACTTACAAGTCACATAACAAAATAAGCGCAATTGCTACAGCTAGAAGTAAGGTGACTAGAGTGGAACGCATAGCGTTGCTGCAGCTTTTGCTGAAGCTGGGATGTGATCTGAAGTGCTTGTGCTGGAAAGAGAGGTATGTATATGTTATGAAAAAAGGAATTGACTAAAAACTATGTATTTTACATTTTAAGTGAAAACAAGGTTTATACATATATCTTTACTAAATCAATAATGTTTGCTTAAAATTGATATAGAAGTTAGCAAAATAATTTTCGAAACATATTTCAGCATCATTCATATTTGAATATGGCCATTTTATTAAGCCTGTTTTCACTATAAAATCTGTTGTACAATTTTATTAACTGAAATAGCATAGCTAGATAATACCTACTGTTCAAATAAGTTCAATGCAAAATAAATTTTATTTCAATCTCTGCTTTAGTTATTGTAACTTTTTTGATTATTACAAAGAGTTACAAAGTTAATCAGTATTATTGTCAATATTCTGCCTCGATAGGCAACTGATGATATTTCCATAAATATTGACTTGGGCCATTTCATGATTGTATCTCGGCATCTCTAATGATTAAATTCAAATTAAAGAAGATAAAGTCTATTTACGGTTTTTATACGTCTTTTATTCATTGTAATTTTTAATTTTTGTGTAATGTCTCCTTTACTTATCAAATCACCTAAATATTTGTATACTAAACTAAATCATGTTCTAATTAAATAAAATTGCATCCAGAACTTTTGAATAAAAATGGATGGTATTGAAAACAATCGAAAACCGCTATTAAGTCAACCAACAAAATTTCAGTTACGTTACGACCTTGCATATCAGGGCAGTATTAATCATTACATACATTGATTCATACACATAAACTTTTGGCGGTCATTCTATAGATTTAAAAAAAGAAAATGTTTATGTTTACTGCAATAAATATTAAATAATCGTTAATAACTGTCATACATAAATTAAGCTAAAAGATAATGTATCAAACAATAATAGGCAATAAAAATGTAAGGAACAAACAATAATTGTTCTCTTGCGAAGATTTTCTTTTCTTTTGGTTATAACTAAAAAGTGGCCCTAGCATAAAAAACAGATACCTATCTATTAAATTTAACGTCATTTTTCTCCAAATTCTTTCAGAGATGTAATGAATTAAAATATTATGGCGAAATATGAGATACAAATAAACTTATTAGGATAAGCAAATGGAAATTTCAACCTCATTGATGTTTTTAAATCTTATGGTTTGTGTTCAGTATTTGTCATATCTAAATATGTATTAATTTACACAAAAATACGAAATCAATAAAACAAATTTGATGACTTGTTTAAGACATTCGACATTTTCGTTAATTCCAGATTTAAGTAAGCTGGAATTTTGATGAAGTGGTCATAGAAATTATGAAAATAAAAATGCAACATTTCTTAATTTTTAAGTCAATGTGATCTAAAATTAAGCGGTATTATCAAATATCAATATTTGATTTAAAATAAAATATTGATAAAATATTGTGTGGTTAAATACTCGAAGCAAGTATGTCGTTGACACAATTGAATAATATGTAAATTCTAATTTAATTGAATCAAATAAAAAGCTTTTTGGAATCTTAAGAACAATCTCTAATAGGGTTTGATTAAAATTAACACAAATTAAGGTTATTTTTTAAATTACTTATAAGAAAGTGGAAAAGTGATTTTATTCAAATTTGGTGTGCAACTTTAGTTTATGATCCACAAATGTGTGTAGTTCCCACAGTTTTTTTATATACAGGAATTTACTTTCGGGGGCGAATTTAGTAATTTTTTATCACCTTTCAAGGTGTTACAAATTAGACTCACTATTATTACAAAATATCAAAGAATTTCAAAAAAAAAGGGACATAGTACAACTTTTAAGATTTATTTACTTGAAGTATAGCTGCCCAAATAGAAACAAATCCAATAAAGGACAGGAAAAATAGTAAAAGATTAGATGAAAAAACATAATAAATTAAAAACAGAGTTAAAAATACAAGCTTAATTATATAACTAGAAAATGAGACAAAAATAATAATTAACGATAAATAAAATATTAAAAATAAATTGTAACATATAAAATGATGGACAAGTTCTAAGTGTAAGTAAATTTAAAATGCACCGCCTTGTAGTACTAGCGGTATAGTTTAAAATATTAAATATCAAAGTAAGTTTGATAATTTACATAATTTGTACACATTTGATACATTGAAGAATAGATTTTAGCAAGTTTGAACATAAGGAATATTAAAGTGAATACTACTTAGAATGTCAAGGCAATCTTTAGAAGAGGACAACAATCTGCACAGAAAAAGTATGGAAAAGTAGACTCGACGCAAGACTAAAACTTGAAAGTAAAATCTATTTAACAGATCTTCCTCTGAACCTTTTCCAAGTTAGAAATGTGAACCTCATATTGAGGATTCCAGATAAACGATGCATATTCTAACTTTGGCCTGACAAATGCATTGAAGAGTAGTGTAAGGGTAGAAACATCCTTAAAATATTGAGAATTCCTCATAATAAAATCCACATTCTTGGTAGGCGTTTGATATAATATAACCGATATGGGAACAAAAATCAATTTTGCATCAAAACAACATCCATATCTTTAAACTGCTTGCATCTATTTACAATAACATTATTTATATTATAGTGAAAGTGAATGGCAACTCTTTTTCTTGTAAAACTCATAACGCTACACTTGGAAATATTTATCTCAAAAATGGCAAATCTTAATGGCATGCCATTAAGATTCACCAATTTCGAGATAAATAGTAAAATGTCATACTATGTATTGATAAATTATTGTTAAAAATGTCGCAACACCAAGTAATTTTCAATAATTGAAGCAATCACTATTTTTTTGCAAGTTGAAGTAGACCATGCATTTTCATTAATGTTGAATACTCTGTATCTTGAAAATGAATTGTTTTCGGATACCCCGATTATGAAAACTTTTTTGTTAACTTGTAACGTGGAACTCGCTATTGAAGTTTACTAGAAATTTTAATTACACTACATATTTCCTCAAAATTGTTTCTATATTTAATTCACCCAATAATTTTGACATTTTACAGCTTACTTGTACACGTAAATGTGATTTTCAATGTAAAATATGTCGAACTGCGAGGAAAACAAACATTTTAAAAATACTTCAGTTTCTAATTACAAGTCAGTCATGCTACATGCTACTTATTAATTAACGTAACTATTCAAATAGAAAAGTTTCTACATATTTCGTTACTCAAAATTTTTTGCATTTTAACTTCCTATAGCTTTCATAAATTATTTAATATACCTATGACATAGCCATGTTCACAGATCGTTTTCATTAAACAAAAGATTTTCATCTTAGCAACACGTTTAATTCAGATAATGTGCATAGCAGCTGCTCATTCAACTTCTGGGTTTTATTTTTTTTTTACATTTGTATGGTATTAATGATTTTAACTTAATCTAATTCTAATATAGCCATTAGCGTCGATGTATACAGAAACAATACAGGATCAAAGTCATGTTTATCGTTTGCAACTTGTTTCAATTAAACAAAATAATTTTCCCATAAACAACAGATTTCCTGGAAATAGTGTGTATTCGCAGATCTCATGGCCAACTTAGTAATTATTGGGTATGGTCAATGCTTAATTATGCGACCCAAATAACCTGCAGTTTTAATTATGCATACTTGCATTTCTTATAGATCTAAATTTTGGGGCTTTAATTTTAACAAGAAACGGAAAACAAGTGTGTTATAAAAACCGCCTTAATACGTACATTTAGTTCTTTTAGCAATACACTTATGTCATTTACCTCGAAACCGATGATAAAAGTGAAATATCTTGAAAGAAAACTACATATGAAATTTGAATGAAATTACTTCAACGGTTTTCTTTTATTAAAAAAAATACGTTTTTTTTATAATAATTATATTATTATTATTTACTAAGTTTTTTGTCAATTTGTGATCTAGTTTGATCAAGTATTTTAGTTAGACCTATATACCTTCAAGTTTACTAAAAGCAAGAATGTCGTTTAAATATTAAATGAGGTTTATTTTTATTTTAAACTTAACAAAAAACGCTGGAAAACGTATAAATAATTATTAAATTCTAGAAAATAATACATTTGACTTAACTAAATATTACATTAGCGGTAAGTATTACTTTCGAATAAGAAAACTTCAAATGAACGCAAGAATTATATAAATAAATGTTACCTGGTAATTGTGCTGCCTTTAAACACAAAGAGTTGAATTTTATCCTTGTCGAATGTGACCATCAACTTCCAAAAATCACTATCGAAGCACATTTAACAAAATACTAATATAACTAAATCACATAGAAAATACAGAACTCTGCGAACACATTTTGGGAATTTAAACTTGTCACTTTTAAGTAATATAAATCGAATTTGACAGCTGTTTATCCATTAAAAAATTGTAGTAATGTGCCGGAAATGCTTCGGATGGGCCAGTGGCCAGAAGAGAGCTAGACGAATCAGTCTGCTAGTGAGTCAAGGAAAGACCATAGACTGAAGCCTTAACTTTAAGGTATTCTTCAGACTGTCTTATCTCTGACTAGACATCCCACCACATATATCTTTATTTATATGGTGGGTAATTAATTTTAATTATTTATGCTTTACCAGTCAATATTCAGGGATTGTGATATATAAAAATAGGTACCAATATGCAGAAAATATTTAATTTGGAGACAAATTTAAAAAATTAAAATTATAGTGATTTGCTGAAAATATGCGCATATTATTTTTATTTGATAAGTTTGAAAAAGTGATATTCTATGATCTAGCGAAATAGTTCTTGATCGGACTGAATTTAGACTTTTATCTTATTAAGATATCGATTATCATAGCTATAGGTATCTATCAGATTTAGAAAAACCACTATTTTTGTTAACATTAGGCTATTTTATGAATAATTAGTTTTAATTATTTATCTAAGTTTTGTCAGCTATTGTTATGGGTAATCATGCAGAGATTATAAAATGTACAGGTATGTATTAATATATTAAAACTTATTTATGGTGACAAATTTTATTCATGTGAATATCAGCAACTTATTTTATTTGGCTAGTAGTAATTCAACTTTTTAAATCATTTTTATTTTATGTGTACAAGAAAAAAAATTTTAAATTCCTTATTCTGTTTTATCTTTTATTTATGCCATTATAGTTTTTATATGTGTTGCTTGAAATCCTTATTATTACTAAACTACCATAGCGATGAATTCCGAATTAGCTTTCTTATTTTCAAAGGTAATATAGATAAAGTAAAGTAAATAAACAAATTGTTTTATTTATGTGTTGCATAATCTTTAAAATTATTAACATACAGTTACAGTAAATTAAAATTAATTTCATTCATAAAATTATAATCGCTGTGATGGTATTTTTGTGAATGTGGAAAATGTGGCAAGAAGAATTATTTTTGATTACTAAAAATATCATCCTGGTAAAAGCGGATAAATAAAAAAATATTGCTTCTGTATCCACGATATCTGTCTACATACCTACATTTGACAAATTTAGTAAAAGAATGCAAAAAAAATTAATATATCTTTTTTCAACATAGCAGTCAAATTCATCGAAAAATGTACCTATGTTTAATCGTTTACTAATACCTATATTCGTCTATTTTTTTATATTATCATCAAGCTTTAACTGAATCTCACTTATTCATATAACCAATTTCACAGGCAATATAAAGAAAAAATACAGGGTATCAAGGCTAAAAACATATAAGGATCTTTTATAGAGAGCTTTGCTTTTATCAAACTAAGATGCAAAGATTGTATGAAATGGGAAGCGCAAATGCTCTGTTGTTTGAGATTTTATGATTTAAGTGGGAATAAAATATAAAAAAGTAAACCTTAAAAGTTATTTTTTGCTACATTTATATCTACAAGATACGGAAAGACTCTCCGTAACATTTCTTGGTCACTAAGTTTAATTCACCTCCCCAATTCTGTTTTTCTTCCAATAGCTTTTAAAATATTTAAAAAACACGATAATATTTCGGGTGGCCCAAAATTTATGTAATATTTGAATTCAGGGTTATTCAAACTGGAGCTCTACAGAAAGGAACAACACGTCTCAATTGTTTAACAATATTTTAAAACTATTAAAGGTACAGTTCGCAAATTTCATACAAAATATGGTCGGAACAGTGATATAACTTCACCAACTGCGAAGAGATTAATTGAAAAATTCAGAGTCAATTAGTGATTTTAAACACTCTGGCCGTCCTTCACAAGTCGTTCCACACAAAACATTGAAGCAGTTCGTGAGAGTGTTGCTCAATGTCCAGGAACATTAATTCGCCGTCGTGGTTAAAAATTGGACATTTCGAGAAGCGTATCCTCACGAAAAATTTGCATCTTCGTGCTTACAAAGTTTAACTGACTCAAGAACTGAAACCTACTGACCACGCAGAACGAAGAAAGGTCCTTGAATGGATTGTGGAATAAGTGGATGCCGATTTTTTCAACAAAATCATCGAGACTCATTTTCATTTTCTTAATCTACAAAATTCTCGCATTTGGGGTTCAGTAAATTCACGAATGATTGTTGAGAAACAAATGCATCCACAACATGCCACTGCTTGGTGTGGATTTGGGCTGGAAGCATCATCGGACCATTCTTCTTCGAAAATGTGACTGGTCAGGCAATAACAGTTAATGGTGTTCGCTATTGCGACATGATGAGCCAGTTTTTTATACCTAAATTGCAAGATATGGATGAAGACGACATGTGGTTTCAACAAGACGGTGCCACATACTATACAGCCCGGGAAACATTTCAATTACTACACGAGTCATTTCCTGTCCGTATAATTTCCCGTTTTGGTAATCAGAATTGGCCTCCCAGATCATGCGACTTAATGACGTTGAACTATTTTCTTTCGAGTTTTTTGAAGTATAAGGTTTATGCCAACAAGCCCACAACCACCCATGCTTTGAAGAAGGAAATTGAGCGCTATATCAACGAAATTCAGCAGCATTTATGAAAATGGTCATGGGACATTTCGACAATGTCGTGGAAGCTGTAAACTTTATGAATATGAATCAATAAAAAATTCATTTTTAATAAAAATCCTGTGTTTTCTATCAAAATTACTTCTTGCGAGAATTTTGGGACACTCTTTATATAAGCTTTTTGAAGTTTTTTTTTAACATACCCTTTAATGGATTGATATGTTAGTAAGGAAATGAGGTCAACAATGGGAATTTTTAGAGCTCTCCAGATAACTAGGTATATTACGTGCGTATAATCATTAGTCATTATTCTGGATAATTTACTACAAATTATTTCAATATTGAGTATGTTGGAAACCGCAGTTTTATTTGGAACACAGACACGGTGGTGTTCACATATAATTCCGGTAACCACCTACGTCATTTTATAGAAATGTGACGGGATTCTAGTATTTTGCCCTTATCGTCTAAACAAAACAAAACAAATATATATTTGCATTATGTAATTCAATTATTTTTAAATGTTCAAGAGTAAATCGGGATTGGCAAACATCCCATTGTTGACATCAGGGATAAATAACGAATCGATCTTAAGCATTTAGTAAAAAAAATATTGTTAATACTGTATATCTTGTAATTGCTTGGTTTAGACGGGAAACCGCAACATATATTTACGTCGACAGATTTACTTTTGTTTGATGTTCAGTAATCCATTTTTAGAAAAACTGTTTGTGGTGATACCGCAGATATCACTAACAAAACCCGCGCTGTATTGTATTGTAGTTATTAATAAGTTATCAGTAATCAAATATGTACTTATAAATAATTAAATTCTTTTTTCCATTAGATTATATTTAATGATCATAAAATTTTTGAGAAATCAATTACTTATTTAATTTTTTAAAAGAAGTTACTTAAAAAAGAAATTCTATAATTGCAGAATTATTCAGGTTGTCCATTTAGTGGGCCCATCTTCTGTTATATCATTATCCTTAGTAAGTGAGAAGAATTCGTTGTGTGAATGTCAATGGGACATTTTAAAATTAACAACTTGTATAGAGTGTGTTGCAAAAACGTTTGGCGCTTATGTGTGTACTTGTTCTAAATAGAACACCATAAATTTTCTTGATCCAATCGAGGTCTCCCTACAACCTTAAATTTATTTTGGTCTTAAATATCACGTTACCAAGTTACGACTTTTTAAAATATTTTTTGGTCATTCTCATAAATATGAATATAGCGTGTATTACGAGCTAGTTTTTCATAAAATTTTAGAGATATACTCAATTAGGTTATTTTATACGAAAATTGTGTGAGCAAAACATTTTATTTTATTTTAAGGTGCATTCAAAATTCCTTTGTGGATATTGATATTTTTAAACAAATTTTTTTTAACACCCTGTATTTTATGCAGTAATAAAATCTTCAATTTATTTTGATATCAAGATGTCTCTTTTAATTCTGGTGGTTCTTAAGATATGGCGAAAAGAATTTGTTAAAAAACTCAACATAGTCCTTCTAGGTTGAAATAAAGTAATAATCTGTAGGATTTTTAACAATTCATAACTTAAGTTATGGGTCATATTGAGGTAAGGTCATAAGACGACTCAAAATAAATTTAGAAGTAAAACTGATTTAAATAAGTAAAACAAGTTGACAATAACCTTAATGGTAAGAAATATTCAGATTATATTAATTTTATTATAAATTATTATATTTTTTGGTTTACTAAATTTTGCAAAAACTTTGGATATATTTTTCAGTCTTTCAAAAAGGCTACGACGGAAACTCTTCATTTTATTTCAAAACTGTCTATTCATTTTTAATTTCTAAATCTACTACTACTTTTTTTAATTATTACCCATCAAGATTTCTTTCGACATTCCACATTTTAGTTATCTATATGGCATTTTTACTTAAATTCAAAATTTAAAAAAATCTTATCAAATTAAGTGAAATGTTGTTCGATATCGGAAACTTAAGAACGCAAAGGTGATCACTAATCCCACATACAACTGCTCATATTGCAGGAATCAACTATCTTATATAGGCTATATACTAATTTAATAAAAATTATTTAGAATTTGTTATCCTTCTAAATACGTATTATATTATTCCTTATATAACCTTTTTATATGTATAAATATATGAACTGTATCAATTTTGGACTATTTTACTTTAGTTGAACCAAAATTATTTTCGACTGTTACATGAGCCGAACCTATTGAAATTTCAAAACCAACCATAAAAACAGTAAATGGTATATGACAGGTTTATTGACGTACAAGTTACCGCACATCTTTTCAATAGCAATAAACTCTGTTTATCCATGATTTTCTGTTCTATTAATGAAAATATATGTTGGCGTCAATTGTGTAGGTGCGAAACCGTATAAATGTGACAATGAAAACATAATTTAAACACTGGACGAAAATATGACTTAAGACTTATAAACTAACAAGCATAAATATTTATTTAGTGGGCTGTTTCGTGTTGTATAATGGGCTTGCAGATGCAGTGCAGATGACTAAATATTAGAGAGGTAACAATAAATTTATTTATAACTGCACTGAAACCACTGGTTGAGCAATTCTCGTTTCGATCTGCTAAGATTTATATCCTGTACAGGTCCAGTACACTATTAAAAGAGAGTTATGTTATTGCGAAAAAAATATATCGGACTTGTATCAGAAAATTAAAATTGTAAGTTTAAGAACATAGATTGAAAAAGGCATGTGTACGAGACAGCATATTTTTTTAATATTTTTGCATCTGCTATAACCGAGCCGACACTTTGTTGGGATATGTGTTTAAACAGTGTCGAAATGGCAGTAGGTTGGCACACCAAGCAAATACTTTTTGGCCTGTAATGAAATATTAAGAAATTTTTATCTTAAATAATTTAATAGCACAGGCATATAAAAAAAGTGCATGATGTCATTAGTAAAATTTACCTATGACCTCGATATTTCTCAGAAAATCTATTATTTGGATAAAATCTGGCCCAAATATGAGTCAAAACTGATTTTTCTCTAAATTTTGTCCAAATATATCATTTCCGTAGTATTTTAAGACGTTAAACACGACGCTATTAGTAAAATTTACCCATGACCTCGATATTTCTCAGCAAATTCAATATTTGGGTGGAAACTTGCCCAAGTGAGGGTCAAAACTAATTTTTTCCTGAAGTTTGTCTAAATATACCGCATTTTCGTAGTATTTTGACTAGTTTTCATCCAAATAGTGGATTTTCTGAGAAATATCGAGTTCATGGGTAAATTTTACTAATAGCATCGTGTTTAACGTCTTAAAATACTATGAAAATGTTTGGACAAAGATTTAGATAAAATCAGATTTAACCCATATTTGGGCGTTTTCACACAAAAATTTCACTTTTCTCTGAAATTCATCGACAAGTCATGGATTTAGGCCACAGGATCGTGTTCAGCGCATCGAATTCCTTCGGAAATGATATGTGGGTCTCTTAGGTTTGGACTTTTTTTTTTCGATGCCAGTATAATTTATAGAGATTTATTTCTGCAAATATAATAAAATTTTTTATAATAAATTACTGTACTTCTAATTTCACGACACAATAATTGTACCACCATAGACACGAAATAATTACTACTTTCTATATTCAAATTCTAGAAAACGTGTTTTTAAGAGAATTGTTTGCTTCTACGAAAATAGTTTAAAAGAAGTAATTAGAATTTTTATGACGAAACATCCAGTACATTGAAAACTGCCCCACTAGAATCATCTCATGACTTTAGTTCACACAGCTAAATGTAATTACACCTACGATAATCTATAAATGCTTTACTGTATGCTTTTATCCACTATCTGTTTCATTGAGTATCAGAATATATATGAGTAATATCATTCATAATATTTTTGTTATAACTGCTGTTGTGGGCACATATCCTGTTTTGAATTTTTGATTTGGACGTTAAAATTTAATGAAACGTCACTATTTTTGGATTGTGCGTGCAAAGTTGCAAACATATTTAACTGTGTTTCTTGTAGTAGGTGTGAATTTTTATTGCGAATATGATAAAAATAGTTGCTTTAGACAAAAGTAGATATATAGTAAGATATTAATTATTAAATACATACAACTAAACTTTCAATAATACTTCCAGATATCAAGATATATATATTCCGGATGTCTAACGAAATAGTACCATATGGTTCAAAGGACTTAGTCAAATTATGGATAAAATTAAACTAAATATGAAATGACTATTAAAATGTATCTATAAGGAATACACTTGTTTGCAATTAAACCAAATATTTTGAAAGAAAATTTAAACTGGTTTTTTTTCTGAGTTTGTACAGTTTAAGTATTTAAAAATTGAAAGGAGTACAGAAAGTCCATAACATTTATTAAACGGAAACAAACCGATAATAACTAAAACATTTTGAGATAATAGGATTGGTTTTTACACATCTTCCAATTTTTAAAGAGCACGAATATTCAGGTGGGCTTTAAAAATTATATGAATATTAAATAGATTAATTAATGAATCACTCCTGCAAAAATAAAAAGTTTTGTTATGGTGCACTCTGCAAGATAATGTTTGATATTTGAGTACCAAACCTTTTATTTTGTCAACTATATAGCTTTTTCAGAAGTTTATTATATTACTTTTTTTTCAATTTTTGTATTAGTAATTTTATCATTTCCATTAATAACACAAAAAAAAACACTATTAAATGATGAATGAGTATTCATAATGATTTTATTTTCATGGTTCGTTTCTATGTGATAACATCGACAGCTGAAAAGCTACTATCTGTAGCTCTTAATACAGTAATCATTTTTTGACCCCACTTGACTAATTCCACAAGTTCTACAATCAGAAATAAACAACATTAATTATTAACAATTATAATTCACCAAAAGTTCTGTTTGTTCAATTGTATGCTTCTAACAACTCTTTTTCTTTTTTTTGTACTGGATGTTTACTATATAATTAATATAGACTTTTCGATTTGTTAATCACAGTTTTTTTTACAAAGTATATAATTACCATTATCATACATTAATTAGCTATGTGAGATATATACATGATTAATCGCATATTTGTGAGAATTTTGAGATAATACAAAATTGATGTAAAAATGGTGTTTTTTATAAAGAAAATTTAATATCCGCCTTTAATACTTTGTGAGATAAATGCAACAATTATTAATTATAATTTATAACTATTTAAATATCGTGTAACTTATAACAAATATTTCACAACTCTAAGTCACGTTTAAATTGTTTAAATGATCCAAAATTGGAATTTTTTTCTACACCCTACTAGGTCCCAGTAGACTTTCCTTTTTATTTTTTTAAAGAATGTTGGAATGAATTTGCATCAACCGTATTTTTAGGTTTACCTGGATTTCTGTTCTAGAATGACTGTAGGTCATAACATGTTTACAAATGGACATTAATTTACTATTCTGCTGACAATTTTATTTGTTATTTCAACACTTATTAGTCTTTAGTATTTAAAATTGGGTTTTCAGATTTATAACAGACAATTAGAATCTGTTTATTTTCAAAGATCATGAAATTTTGAGCAGCAGGTAACATAATTAATGTATGTATAAAGTTCTTGATTAAAATAATAGAAAACTTTTTCTTTACTTTGATACCAAAGGTAGCGTAGAACTAGGCAGGAGAAAAAGTTTAAAGCCCAATGTATTCATTGTAGAGATACGGAGAGGATATGCATAAAAAACAAGCCATGAAACAATGTAAAAACATGTTTACCTACTCTAATTTAAAAATAAAAGCATCGTATGTTATTAAACTCGATACCAAGTAGTCGATCGTTGCCAAAAAGTATAAAGACTCGCCTTGACGTAAATTCAGAATCAAGAATTGGCCTAAAAGAAAGATGCAGTGGGGGTTCGGTTCAAAACATGAATAAACTGAAAGAATCCAAGTAAACATAGTCGGCTTCGAGACAAAGAAAAGTGTTGACTAGAGTGCGAACCTCTGAATTCTATTTCAGTGTTAGTACTGAAAACTTACACGTGGAAGTTGTGCGAAAGTTTTCTAGAAGTGTCCATTTTAGAAGCTGTTTTAATAAAGCTAAGCGAGTATATACTTTTCTGAATAAACATTTCTTTGGTTTTGGAAAGATGGGGATGATAACTAGAGTGCGAGGGAGACTGAGAAGTTTACACGCGCTTCCTAAGTTAGAGCCGGAAGTACGGGATGAAAAAATTGCCGAAACTGGTACGTACTTTTTTATATATTCACCACTTCAACACTTTATGTGGAGTACACATTAAAAAACGATATATTTTGTAAGGAATGTGCAAATATATAGTGTTCTTAAACAAACTGCTTCAGTTACGTCCTATTTCTGTCGATTTTAAAAAAATTATGTATATTAATAAATAATGGAATTACTTCTTTCTATACTTTAACGACGACTATTTAATTTAAACTGATTATGGACTGGGAAATTATAAAACATTTTTAACATCAGCTTTAATTAATGTATACTTTATAAGTTCATACGTTGCAAGTTTTCTCCTCAACTATTTATTATATTAGAGCTAAAAACTAAATCGTGACTAGTTAGAAATTAAATTTGTTTAATCAATAATTGGATTTAGAAATAATTTTACAAAATGGAAAACATTTTTTATACAACTATTTTTTATAATACAGAGATAACATTTTTTATATTTACACTAAACAAGAGTATATTTTGCCATTAATTTACTTTTTTAAATTAATTTAATATCAATACTTAGATAATAGAGTGGGAGAAAAATAAAAAAATGGGATGAACTAGACATCACCCCTTAAAACTACCCCTTACTTAACATGTACGATTTGAATAATACTGCGCAAATTATTGTTCACAAGAATATCTAAAGATTGTAAAGATGTTTCAAAAATAAATCTATCATCCTCTTTTGAAGAGATATAAATTTTGTACATAAATTTGAATGTTATGTTTTTCATCGATTTCCTGTTTTGAATTTTATTTTTAAAAAAAGTTTGAAAATAGATGTCTGTGTTATTGTAAGAGTGCAAAGTACTATTTTCAGTCAGTCACGAGAATGCCAAAAAACAGACGTGACATTTTCACATAGAATGATTTTTTTTTATTAAAAATTGGCAGGTTTGTAAATGCCAAATTATTTGTCCTATTATATCTGTATTAATTTAGGAGCAAATATAGTAAGAATTTGCTGTTTTCCTTTTCTGGTATTACTGAAATATTAAAAAAGATATCACTTGAATCATTATCATTTTTGCTTTGATGAAATGTATGCCTCAAGTAAGCTGTTACTGATTTTTTAAACATAATGGAAGAAGTCATTGACAATATTGCAGATACAAATACTTAAACTACTTTTTGGAGTTGAAGATTTCATAGTTTCGAGAACTAAATACCCAATGTAAATAATCGTGAGGTCAAATGTTTGGGATAGGATAATTTCCCATGGCTCTGTTATTAGATAAATTAGATTTTTTCGGAAGACACTAGAATAAACATATAAAATAGATAAAAACATTAAAGCGGAACATTATATTTATTATCTGGTTCAAATTCCTTGTGCACGTGCTGTAAGGTCATACTGAAGACAAGTGCACGCAAACACGATACAGCTCTAATAATTATCACCCTCTATATCATACGGTCTTGAATGATGTATGAGATAAGTAACATCCATAAAGAAAGTTTTAAATTAAATAACAAGTTAACCAGATTAGTGGGCGCCTAGTGCCAATATCAATTTAAAATAGGTCCGTAATTTAATAATAGAAATAGAAATTAATGTTACCACCGCCAACATGATTTTTAAGAAGCTATCTAATTATCTGAGATTTTTCAAATTACTCACTTGTTGCGCCACTGATAACGTTACTAATTGATGAATTATCGTGTTACCCATTTCGGCAATAAGTAATAATTTAAAATCGTTGTTGAGTTAAAAATTTGCGTGCCTTCGGGAATGATTTAAAGCCATGTACGTATATTTAGCAACAAAGAACAGCTGAATACAAATCTGTTAGCATAACGCAAATAAAGGAAATTTTAATTGACTTTGTTTATTTCAGTCTGTCTGCTATCTGTATTATTTTTACTACCATACTGCTCAAGAGGACATGCACCTCTATTAGTCAGTTTAGGAGGCTGGTGTGTGGCTACTTACTCGTTTTTGGTCCTGCCAGTGCTAATATCTGCCAACTACAAGTACCCAGTTAGATGGCTCAGACAACTCATGATTAAACTGATAGGTAAGATACCTTTATAATAATTAATATGATATGTTGTTTCTTTGTACTGTTTTTTTTACGCAAATAATTTTAAATACAACTTAGAAATGACATTAGTTAATTTTTTTTAATAGCAGTAGAAAAACTAAAGTGAATCTTTTTATTTGTCTCATTAGTAGAAAAAAGTAAAAGGTATCTTTTCCTGAAAAAATAAGTTGCATAAAATAATGAATAAAATTGTTTCAATTGTGGATTATTTTGAAAGAAGATAAGTCTACGTCATGGTCAACTCAAAAAAATATTAAACATCTCTCTAAGAATCGTGTTGACGCAAATATGTACATTGATGGATGCATGGTACCTTGCTCAAATATGGCTTCCCTCCCAAATATGCAATTTTTTTTGTAAATGTTTACAAATCGAATAGATATCTTTCTGTAAAATTATATTTGATACGGTCATAAATATGGTAAATATTTTTAAGCTTCTTTTTCAAATCAACTTTATGCACGAATTTAACTTAAATTTTAATATTCGTTTTAAGTCTAATGAAGGTCATCGTGGTTTTAAAGAAATCAGAAACCGAAGTTATATGTTCCAAATATATTAAAAAATAATGAATGAATAATGAATAAGTTTAGTTGCACAATACATCTGAAGTCGCAGATTCTAGGGAACGCAGGGATGGGCATTTACGCGTCAACTTTGATTGTCGACATTTACATGTAGACTTCGCGTAGATTATGTAAACAATGTGGATTAAGTAAACAACGTAGACAATGTAGAGAATGTTGAACAGCTGTTCTATTGAGTGGACGAAAAATCAATTCCAATTTTGACCGGCTACGATTAGAATTAGTAAAATTCATAAGAAAATATGCCGCAAAATGTTTGAAATGTGAAAATACTCCAAAAAGACATAAAAAGGCCCTTAATATTCTGGAGAATGGCAAACCTATACATCCTAATTTATCGACATTGGCGATTAGACTTTTACAAATACCTGCGTCGTCTGCGCAAATTAAAGGTTTTTTTCAAACTTTTAAACGCTCCAAAAAATTAATTCATATGTACTATTCACTTAAAATAAAAGAACTTCATGCCTCTAAATTTGTTGATTATACAGGGTGCCGCAAATTTCACCGACAACGTTTGACTGCATAATCATGACGATAAAAAAATTTGATCTACGAAAAAAAAGTTAAACAAAAACTTTTTAGTTTCTGAGTTACAGGCCTTCAAAGTTGTTAAAAATAAAACTAATTTAGTTAATTACTTCATAACCCTTTTACCGATCGCGTTAAAATTTGGGACATTTATTTGGACCATTATGGCATATGATTCATTAAAGCTTTAGTCAAATTGATATACTGGATGTTATTTTTCTCCGGTTACCTCTCCCTTTTAGCGGTCAAAAATTTTACAGTGGTCGTATTTTTTTAAAACGGACAGCAACAATGAAAAGGTCGTTTTATTTAAAAAAAATATTGTCTCTTGAAAAAATCACGTAGAGGAAGCCATTATTGAGAAAAATTGCATTATTTGTAGGTCTGGATGTGCTGTGGTTATCAGGTTATGTCATTATTGTCGTATTTCTTTAGGATTCTCATCACTCCACGCATGCAAATTATGAAAATGTTTAATTGTTTTGATGCACTGCCAACATTTCATAATTTAAATGTGTGGGGTGATGAGAATCCTAAAGAAACACGACAATAGTGATGGTACCTGATAGCCACAGCAATCAACATCTTGTTTTCATCGCCTACTGAACTCAAGTTTCAAATCCGTGATACTACTACGCAAACCGAAACGTACATACCTGCAAACAATTCCATTTTTCTCAAGAATGTCTTTCTGTTGGCGATTTTCTCATTTCAATGTTGCTGCCCGTTTAAAAAAAGTATAACCACTGTAAAAATGTCGGCAGCTAAAAGGGAGAGGTAACCGGAGAAAACTAACATCCAGTATATCGATTTGACTAAAGCTTTAATAAATCATATGCCATAATGGTCCAAATAAATGTCCCAAATTTTAACGCGATCGGTAAAAGGGTTATGAAGTTATTAAGTAAATTAGTTTTATATTTGACAACTTTGAAGACCTGTAAATCAAAAACCAAAAAGTTTTTATTTTTTTGTCGTAGATCGTATTTATTTATCGTCGTGAATATGCAGTCAAACGTTGTCGGTGAAATTTGCGGACACCCTGTATAAATGAAGGGTAGTGATAAATGATAGACATAAAAATGAAAAAAATTTAAAATATTTTTAGTAAATTGTTAATTTTTTTTATTCTGTCAATCAGCAATTTATAATGTGAATTTTTATTTTGTTATACTTACTATAGTGTTAAAGATGTTTTAAACAATAAAGTAATATTTTATTAAATTATATACCTCTAGTAATTGTTGACATTGTCTACATTGTCGACACTTCCAAATTATGTCTACACCTAGGTTATTGTCTACGCGTAGACAATTGTATTTTCTACGTCGCGATTGTCTACTTGCTCATCCCTGGGGAACAGGTGATGTAGTGTATACGGATTTTTGTAAGGCCTTTGACACCATTAACCATAGTATAACATTATTTGGATTAGACGAATTTAGATTATCCAATAGTCTACTACAGTTCTTTAAAAATCATTTAAAAAGTCAACTATGTTTTGTTACCTGTAATGAGTTTAAGTCTAATTGCGGTTGAATCTTATATTCTTCAAGGGTCTAAGCTTGGACCTCTTTTATTTTTGATAATTATTAATAACTTTACAGAAATTATTAAATGTAATAAGCTGCTATTGGCCGATGAACTTATTGAAAATCCTAGTTGTAAAATTTCGTAATCTCAAATGTATTTAATAGGAGTATTCTAGAGAGATTGTCTAATGAGGGACATATCGTACAAATATTCACAGTACCAAATACTCATAAAAAAACTGCTACTGATATTTCGAAACACAAATGCAGCTATTTAACAAGCCCTACTCCTACCATATAATAGAACAGTGTAATAATATTCCTGTCTTCCTAAAAGATATTCTTTTAGCCCCATTTAAGAAAAAAAAAAAAATTTAATTGTATTTCATGACCATGCACAAAGTTAGGTTTATAAAGTTGTTTGTTGGATTTGATTGTTGTTCCTTTGTATGGTATTGCATTTTCTATTTTTATGTTTTTGTTTTTACAACTTCTGTTATTTGTGTAGGTAGCTAAAAAATGGCCACACCCATTATTATTAAAAGTTGCGTTGTATTATAAGAAATTGCAGGTCATTTTCTAATGTTGACGCTTTAAAAACACTTTACCTTGCGTTCGAAGCTAGAGTACGGATTATTAATTTTGTTACTTTTATGAGATTCATTATTAAGTTCTTGAATCAGTTGAATGCATTTTTTTTTAATTCAGAGTTTCGTTTAATAACCGTTACACTGTTATGTATTAATTAAACTGGCCTGTATGTTTACTTTTATTACGATTTAAGTTTAAGTGTATTTTTATCATTTATTTATAATAATCAATTGTATTATTCTAGCTATATATGTATTATTTCTTCTTCCTTTTTTATTTTATTTCAGTTGGTATTTTTCTTGTTCATAAATTTTATTCTGTAAATGGATTTATTTTTTCTATTGGGCAAATAAATTGAATTAAATTTAATTTGAAATACATAAACGGTTCTGTGAAATCTGGTTAGGGTTCATTCAAAATATCTTTAATGTTTTAGCTATTATTATTATATGCTTTAGAATAAGACTAAACATGTCTGTATCAGAAAATTTTGGATGTGGTCATATTAGGAACATATCTTGCAAATATAAAGATTCCGCTGTTCATAATAGGAGCGGATTCATTATTTTCTTAATGTCAATAAATCTGTTACGATATTTGTTTGAAAAAATTATACCTTTTTAGATTTTTAGACATGAATAATTTTTCTTAAGGATATCCATATTTATATTTATTATATTATGAAGTATAGGTAGTGTTTTTCAATTAGATTTTTAGTCATACATTTTTTATTGGTCTAGTATGCTAATTGCTAGAATAATCGGTGACGTGTTTTTATTTAGATTATCAGTATAAATGTACATGTATCCATATTACTTGTGAAACGATTTTTTTTTGGAAATTGTCCAAGTAAATAATCATTGTATGATTTTCAACAAATTTATTTTAGAATTCGAATCGCATTTACAAAAAACAGTTTGTTTATACTACATGCGAACATGTTTGCGCTGTCCTAAATTTAAACGTTTACAGTTAGAAAAACACATTTCTTAATTCGCAGAAAATAATCTGCGCTGTAATTTTTTTGCCTAGTGTATTAGAAACAATTTTAAGAATATTATTTAAGTAGAATATTGTAAAAATATCACTTTACAGCTTTGATGGATATGAACGGTTCTTATATTGGTATAGGTAACAAAGTATATTTGTTTAAAAAGAAAAAGATATATGTATATGCTTGTATCCGCTGTTCACTGTTTTCTACAGAATGTAAACAAGTTTTATAAATTCAGTGAACTTCAAACAACTCAACTAAAATGAATAATAGAGTGGCATGTAACAGAACTTATAAACATGTTTTTTATTTTTATTTTGTTTTTAGAGGTATCAAAGGAATGGTTTTCATTTTGAAATAATCAGTCAGTCATCTTACTTTTAGTAACAAGCCAAACTATAAATTTACAAATTTAATGTTATTTTTTGAAAAATTCAGTCATAGTATTTGTTCGGACACAGACGATATTAGTTTATATTCTGGATTCTATAACCGTTAGAAAATTTTATTAATAATATTTCTAATATTTCAAAATTAATTAATAAAAGTTTACGCTGTTAGTTATTAAACTTGCCCCAATACATGTGCAGCGGATAATAATATGTATTAAAAAATAAACAATAATACAGTGTTTTCGACATTTTAATAAAAAATTAATAGTTCGTAACAATATTAAATCAGACTCACCTATAGGTTAGTGATGGATATGATGTTATTAGTGAGAGAGTGTGAAGATTA